TTGCAGCTGACATTTTCGAGCTGAGATCAGAAACGAAGATGATAAAGCCGTTTAAAGAGGTAACAGCTAAACACTTATTGGAGCATGACGACGTTGCACGTCATGAAAAAACTTCACATCTCATGTCTGCTGTAAAAACACTGTGGAAGGCTATTTCTTCATAAGGCACCTGAAAAAGAAAAGACCGCAGAGCCTATCAGTCATCTGCTTGACTCCTGTCACACGGCTTTTAGTGGAATGTTGTTTTGAGATCTGGTTGTCCTAACGCCGGATAGAAATAACCCACACCCCGAGCGCCGGGAAACCGTGGAGCAGAACGGGTGTTATTTTTGTGTTTTTTTCTTATCCCGCTTTCATTGAGAAGGCAGCGTCAGCGTTGCACTATTGTTCATCCAAGGGAAACACCTAACTGCAGTCACAACCCATCCACTAGCAGCAGTTCGACTTCGTTCTCAGACTCCAATCATAATGTAATAATTTACACTAAAACGGCAACTAGTTTTCGTCTTACCACTATCTAACGGACCTTCCTAGCATAGTAGGATCTCGAGGGAACAAGTGTTCCACCAGCATAGCTTGTTGAATCGTTGCAGTATGCAAGCCCCACCATCACCTCAAGGTAGCAGCTGTTGGCTGGGACTAAAGAGGGTGGTACTTTGATAACCTCCCACGACAGACTGTTAGAACGCTGTGCAGAAAACTTTGAAGCACACTTTAGGTGGTCCACAGCAACGTTTTATTTCAGATATTCAGCCCGAACCTGAGTGGAAAGTAGATGTCAGTCACTCAACTCTCATTGAAGTTGAGAAGACTGTTTCAAACCTGAAGTAATGTAAAGTTCCAGGACCTGACGGGTTGCCAACCCACGTATCTCAGGATAGACGTAGGAAATTACTGAGTAAAGTAGCGGAGGCATTAGATTGTGTATGAAAATCGAAAGTAGTGGTGTCAGACTGGTCTGCTTCGCTAATTATTCCAGTTTATACGAAGGAGAAATCATTGGGATATCATTGCAATGAACATCGTGTCTAAGATCCTTGGGTTCATAGTTATCCAATACCTATCTGGAGCTCGAGAACAGCAGTCTTGACTTGAAGTACGCAGACGATATTTTCCTTCTAGGTAATGCTAAAAAAATGTATAGTTATCTAAACTGTGAGCAAAAATTCAAGTATGTTTGGCATGCATTTTGCACCTGTCAGATGTAAGTTGATGTTTCAGGACTCGCCTGCAATTGCTCTCGGTTCAAACACAGTGTAGTGAAATGCCTTGACCATTTCACTTACATGGGGAGTTAGACCAGCCTGAATTTGCTGATTCCTGGAAAATAAGAAGCCAGTGTGGTATTTGCCAACTCGCGTCATCTGTGGCAGACTATCGAGGTATCCGACTATCTACCAAAGGGTGATTATACTGCCCTGCAGTCCATTCTGTCCTGTTATATAACTATGAGAGACGGCCGTTAAAAGCAGATCTGAATCGATTATATGGTTTTGATTACAAATGTCTTCGTAGCATTGCTCTCATTTGATGGAATCACCGTATGAGCATTGTTGGGGTCAGGCGAAGGATACTAGACAAGACAAGCAAGTTGATTTATGAGGTTGTAAACTTGCAGCCTTCTATGCTTTATTATATGGCTCTGAAGCGTGGTTATGGAAAGTAAATATGTACAGTTAAGATATTGGACAACCTAGAACAATAAATGACAGTCTAGTGAAATAGAATACAACATCAAATTTCATATAAATCGAGAACACCAATTTAAGCAGAGTAGCAAGAATCCTAAAACCTAAAACGATTTCAATACCAAATTATACTAAATGTTTGGATACTTGAACCAACTTGATGAAAAACTATTTACTTAGAGAAAAAGTACCATTGATATGATGTAATTGAAGACTCATGAATGGACTTTGCAGATATACAAGAACTAATGATAAATGATAGAAAGCTATCTAAGTGAAAATCAACATTTCGATTTCAACCTTTGTTTCATTTTACGGTGTGGTCAGGAAAAACCTTATTGGACAGTTGTGTCCTATAGTTGACCAATCAAAATAAGTTATTTGACCTTTTGGTTGTATATGTTCATGAAAATCTTATGTCAATGATGTATTTTTGTCAAATAAAGTATCTTCCTTCCACTCACAGGTCGATTTTTCCCTTCTGTTTTTTGTGACTCAGTGAAATCTGAGGTTCTGAAGGAGAATAGTCACTATTTGTATCCAGTCCAAGTGCCTTATTGCTCGTTCGTGTATTCATTATTATTCACTCAGTTATTTCAATACGTTTGTCTATATTTTGAAAGATACAATAAATATTCGAGATTGGAAGTTAGACAAAATAGTGCGAAGCATATGTGTCCTACGTATTAAGAGATGTTATATAAAATATACTTGAAAATATCCGAAGATTTATGCTAGCTATTAAAAAAAAATGAATAGAATTCAGACAGTAAGGCTAGAAGAGTGGAATGAAATCACAATAAAGGTGTATAAATCAGTGAAGATACTTAAAAACATCATAATTACTGACAACACGGAAATTTACTGTGATAAACATAGACTGATAACTGTTTCTTTCGGAATACATGAGTTCGGTTTTAATTGTTTAATAGTTACCACTGAAACAAAACTTAACAAATTCGAGTTTGCCTATTTATTATTTATTTTAAACGATTTCATCATCAAACTTTATTATTTTGACCTGTACTCTTTTGAACCAATCAACACAGGCTATTCAGGTTTCGCGGCGTAGACATTATCCTTAAGCCACTGGGTCAGTTTCCAATGGTGCTACACACTTATCATTATTGTTACTATTATTATTACTACTATTATCATTATTATTATTATTATTATTATTATTATTATTATTATTATTATTATTATGTAGTAACAAGATTCAATTCACATGCGAGGGTGAGTACTTTCGATAGATTGATGGCGTTACGGTGGATAGTCCATTTAGATCCATACATATCATATTTTGGAAACCTAGTTGGCGATTTCATCTGGTGTGTTTCACTTTATAAGAGATATACCGATGATGTAGTTTTAATGTGTGAAAAACCTGATGATGCGATACGCATGCTAGAGAAAATGAACATACCTCAAGGATCACACTATCCTAACTTGTGAAGAAGAGGCGAACAGCTACCTACCATTGTTAGACATAATGTTTTATCCATGGGGTGATGGCTCGATCAGAAAATCGATTTATAGAAAGACTACTGGAACAGGGCGATATCTTAGTTTCCATAGCTACTTTCCAGTCTAGTATAAAGATGGTTTAGTTACAGGTTTATGTAACAGGATAGATCATATTTGCCTGTACGACACAAAGGAAAACGAAACCAAAGTGTTGACGACAGATGTGTTAAAATTTATCAACAGGTGCAAAAGTTATGCAGTATCGAAAAGTACTCAGTGTCCCATTTTTAATTAACATTTAGAGGTAAAAATAAAATGGCTTAGATCAGCCATCTGTAAAACTTATTATGCAGACAAGGTCATGATTGTAAAGAAGACAAAGTCCATGTTACAAAATAGACCAAAACAGCACATAAACAATTACACCACCTCCCACTGTGTTTATCACTTCACACGTATATGTGGACACATACATAGAGAGAAGTAGATATGATATGCAGTTAACGATGATTGAACATATATACTAAAGTGGCTTTAGAAATAAATGACCTCAACACAGCCGATAAGTGCAGGTGACAAATGTCTATTGTCATCTATAACCAAACACATATTAGAAACCAAGTAACAAGGTAAATATGAAAACAGCCTTTCAAGTATTGTATGAAAGTGGTTAGTACCGATTGCTTGAGTTTACTGAAGCTTTTATTATCCCTATGTAATGGGTACTGCTAATCAGAATAGATATAAGTTGTATATGTTGAGAGATCGGCAGAAATCATAGGGAATTGCCAGTAATGGGTAAAGATTCTCCCCCACAGAAACGCCAGAGACAATGAGGATGTATTCAGAACAAATTAGGATAAAAACAGAAGAGAAAATGAAGCACATTATACAAATGACTTTAGTGGAAAGTGTACAAAATAATAATAACAATAATAAACATTCTTACCTGCGTCTCAGTTCTTGTCATTTCCTACACATAAACTCAAACTTTTACTAATTACTTCAAGTGAATGTAGAGAAGACAGAGGTGATGAAGATACCCAACGAACAACAGCATAAACAACAAGCACCAATCACTATCAACGGAAAAAACTTAAAGGAAGTAGTCTCTTTCACCCACCTGTCTAGACGGCATAGTTTCAACTACAGGCGGCACAGGCACAGACGAGGACGTCAAAATCAGGATCGGAAAAGCAAGACAGGCTTTCATTAATCTGAAATCAGCGTGGAGATCGACTGCACTCAGCACAAAGAACAAGATCTGGATTTTGAACACCAATTCAGTCAAGTCATTGCTTCTGTATGGCTCAGAAACTTGGAGTGTCACGAAAAGCATTTCCAACAAGCTACAGACATTCATCAACAACTGCCTACTCTCAATACTGGAGATCAGATCATATGGTCAGAAGGAATAAGCAACAAGGAACTCTTTGAACGAACCCATAAATGTGCAGAAGAAAGTGGAAATGGATTGGACTGGGGCATACACTGAGAAGACGGTTGGGGACATCACGTGCCAGGCCCTCAAGTGGAATCCAAATGTGAAACGACAAGATTAGTGTCCGAGGCGAGGGTGACATGAAGGAGATCATGTGAGGAAGAAATGAAAGCTTGTAGGCGGTCGTGGCGTCAGGTTCAAAAGACTGCAGAGAAGAGAGTGGAATGGGAAGTATACTACTGAAGCCCTACGTTCCACTAGGAACCCAAGGGAAAAATAAAATAGTGGTAATAATTAAACCTAATCTAGTAGTATTAATAATCTTCATCTTCTTATTACTAATTACTTAATATTTTTATTTTTTAGGAGAAGAAAACGTTAATCTTGTGTAAGATTAAAATAGAATGATGAAATTTATCACTTATTTTCTTGCTCAAATTGGTAAGAAATATTTCTTTTTTTAAAAATATACATTACTTTAGGACCGAATTCAGAATATACTTGGACACGTTTAATCTATAGTGCACTTAAAGCTCCTACATATCATCTTTATTTTGAATTATTTTTAATTATTGGAATTGTATGGCTTTTATTTAAACAAAGTTATCGTATCAATGATGTGATAAATTTAAGTATTGAAGAAAAAAATCAACTTATTACTGATTGGAAACCTGATAGTTTAGTTCCAAAAGATTGGAAACCATCAAAATATCTTTTAAAACAATTTCATAGATATGCATATAGTCGACTTGGCAAGTAAGTAATTAAATTTACATATATAATACCTTACCCTATAGATTAATAATCATTTCAACCAATAAATTTCATTAGGACTTATCAACGCCTTCAACTCTGCATATACATAATTTCAGATATTGTTATGCAATACAATAAAGCTAAGATTAGAGTTTAGGGGGGCGAGGTTAGGGTAATCTTGTGTATGTAAAGTGAAAAGTTGATGAGTCCTACTACTCAGATATATATATGAATTCAGTAAATTCTACTTTGATTACATTTGTGTTGCTTGTTTTCTATCGGGAAGTAAATATTTCCAGCTTGTTCAACAACTACATATATTTTAAGGGAGTTGTGGGGATTTGAAAATATTTCAAGTTGTTATTCATCGTAGACTGACATCATTTGGAGGAACAAAAGAAACCTGGGGGCACTAGACAGCCATTTCGTCCAACTAGTATGGGACTCCTCTTCAGTGTGCACCCACGACCCCGCCAGCCAGGGATGGAACCCATTACCTTCAGGTTCCGCGGCCAGCATGTTACCATTCAGCTAGCCACTGGGTCAGAATCCAGTGGTCCATATTTCCAACTTCTGTTAGCTCATGATATAGTGCAATAGCCACCCAATGTCATCGTTGAGTAACTGTCCTTACGACCATCAGGCTTTGCCCCCACCGGTCACGACTTCTCATTGGAACTTCGGGAATACCTCTCGAAGCTAGTCAGTCTACGACAAATAACAACTTGAAATATTTCCAAATCCTCATAACCCCCTCAAAAGTCAATTGAACTGGTGTTCACGGGTGACTAGCTTCGAGAGGTATTCCCGAAGTTCCAATGAGAAGGCGTGACCGGTTGGGGCAAAGCCTAATGGTCGTGAGGACAGTTACTCAACGATGATATTGGGTGGCGGTTGCACTATATCGTGAGCTAACAGAAGTTGGAAATATGGACGATTGGATTCTGACCCAGTGGCTAGCTGAATGGTAACATGCTGGCCACAGGACCTGAAGGTAGTGGGTTCCATCCCTGGCTGGTGGGTTCGTGGGTGCACACTGAAGAGGAGTCCCATACTAGTTGGATGAAACGGCTGTCCAGTGCTCCCAGGTTTCTTTTGTTCCTCCAAATGATATCAGTCTACGATGAATAACAACTTGAAATTTAATAATTCTCATTGTGTAACATCAAGAACAAGGTATTCAACGAAGAGACTCCTTTTCAACGAATCTGTTTTCAAGCTGTACAGTCGTATATATATATATATATATATATATATATATATATATATATATATATATATATATATATATATATATGATATTTAAAAGATTATATCCCTTTGAGGAAAACTAAACACTATATTGATAATGATGATGATAACATAGGTATTTGTGATTATGATAACAGTTGAAGTATGAATAATAATAAAGTGGATTACGTAATATATGGAACGGTTCATAGAAGGTCAAGATGAAATCAATGTTTTCTAAAATGATTATGACAATTAAGTGAAATAACACCGGAAACTAATCAAAGTGAAGCCAAATATAATAACAATAATAGTGATAAAGGAAGGATATAAAAGTTAAATTAACAAAGGGGGAAAGGAAGCTAATGGGGATGGGAAAAATGTTATGGCCATGATAAAAACAGTGACTATACATACTTCTTTTCTATACACAGATCAAGTTTTAGTTTATAAAACTAACTAAAGCCTCTGCCTTTTTAAAGAGTTGAAAATGAAGAAAACCTGGGAGGTTTGGGAGAATTTGATAAATAATTTTAGAGTCCATTGTCTATGTTTTTGAGTAAGTGATAGGATTTAGTTAAATGTTCTAGAATCAAACTTCTAACAGACTTTCATTTTTATAAAATCCAAGCTGGAACATGTTCTCGTATACGTGTAGAGTTGTAATTCCCTTCTATGAACCATTCTATGTATTACGCAATCTATTTTGTTATCATTCATACTTCATACTGTTGTCATAATTACAAATGCCTAGGTCATTATCCATATTATTATTATTATTGTCATCGTCATTATATAGTGTTTAGTTTTCTTCACGGGGTATTATCTTTTAAGTATCATATATATATATATATATACGATTGTACAGCTTGAAAATAGATTCGTTGAAAAGGAGTCTCTTCGTTGAATATCTTGTTCACAATTATAAACAGTTATTAAAACAATGGTCAGATACTACAGAGCATTGTGTGCTGTGCATTACTGTAATAAAAAGCAGCTGAAAATCATCTTTTTCAGAAGATACTAATATACACTGAAATGTTTATTAATACAAGAAAAGTAACAAGTAGGCATCACGTTTATTATTTGAATTAAACGCTGCCTCTGTTATTCAATTCATAGCATCAGTTGAACTATGAGCGTAGGATGGAATGAAACGTTGATGTGATCAGATGAAAAGTTTCCTATTGGTATGTATGAAGTTTTTGAATAATAATCACAGTTGTCCAGGGAAATATAAACTTTCTAGTTGAAAATTTTATTTGTAATATTATCAATCATTGAAACATCAATTGGTTAGAGGGGAATCGGTAGACAGCCGGCTATGGTGATCCTCTTAGAACTCTGCTAGCACTCAGAACTAGACAGTATGAAATTAATTGTTTTCGAGTGATTAGTCAGTATATTCTAATCCAGTCCTACAGAAGGTCACTCGTAGCCTGAATATCTCAGTAGTAATATCGCTGACTGAAATATTGGGTTGGACTTGAATTGAGGTTGCTGACGACTACTATTTTCAAGGCTTCTTGCCGATTAGCTATAAACTAATAACATCCACTTCCTAGCTTGGTGGCCACATTGAAAAAAATGATCACTAGAGTTCGCTCAGCATAGAACTAGACAGTATGAAAATAGTTTCTCTCCTGTGACTAATGAATGCAATTATTGCAATTATTTTTATGTATATATACATGAATTTCTCAGTCTTCATGCGGAAAATGGTTCACATACAACGATATCTCTAATTCACTTTATCACTATATTCAGCTAAGAATGTTGTTATTTTCAAACTAAATATTACTAAGTTCTTAAAAGAAAATTTTACAGAAGTCTGTAATAAAAATAGTGCTCATTGGAACAATCAATATTTAGTAGGTAAGTGATCTCCATGAGTTCTGTATAAACTAATTACTTCTTGGTTGTATTATGTTCTCTGAGCTGCATTGTTTAGTTGTCGAGCTTTCATCGTCTTTCTAGACACCGACATCATCAGTACTAACTTCAGTATGAAGTGAGCTGTCAATATCTCTACGTGAGTGATTCACTAACTTGCCCTGATGAACTGGTTTGTGTGTGAATGGTTGTTTCCTTTGATTGTTGTGTTATTGACTAATTGCATAGATTTTTTCTGTTGTTGTTCCTCTGCTTGACCTCTAACCTTTATATCGTTTATCATTTTTCTTATTGGTTGATGGATTCGGTCTATCTCCATATGTCTATTGATTGCTGACTGACCTAAATGCTAAGCTTCTAAGAATTATCTGACATTCTTTGTGTTTTCTCTGTCCGAGATTTCTACATTGTCAAAATTGAATTCTTGTCCATCCATGAGTGATGAAATGTTATGACGTTGAATAACCAATTGGTGTTCATGTAGACGAAGGCGAAGAGGGTGACCACCTTGTCCAATGTTGTGTTGACTACAGTTACTGCAGTTGACTTTGTAAAACATATTCAGTTTGTCTTCTTTGGTTGTTGCATCTTTTGGTCTGCATAACAGTGTTTGGAGGGAATTTGTTAGTTTATGAGCCACACCAATTCCAAGTAATCTCAGTAATCTTGTTGTGATTTCTGATTTATCCTTTATGTGTGGTAGGATGATGCGTTTATTGATTTCTGTCGTTGACTTTGTAGTTGATGTACGGGATAGGCATCTTCTGATAAAGTTTTGTGGGTAGCCTTTCTTCTTTAGGATGGACGTCAAGTAATTTTCTTTGTTTCTCCGTAAAGTTGTTGTACTGTGCAGTGTGTTCTCACTCTTTTGAATAGAGTCTGCATACAACTGATCTTGTGCGTTGTTGGGTTGTTGCTACTGTAGCTGAGTATTTGATCAGTGTGTGTTTGGTTCCTGTACACTTGGGTTTCCGGCTTTCCGGCATTTGTCCTATTGACTGAAACATCCAGGAATGGTAGCTGGTTGTTCGACTCTTTCTCCATTGTGAATTTGATGCCATTGTAAACGTTATTGATCAAACTGTGAGTGTTTTGATGATGATAAAAGTGAATCCAAATTTTTGGCTTGATCACAAGTTGATTGATGGTTTCCATTCCCTGCATCACTGCTTTTAAAATTAGTCCGGACATCGGTAATCCCATTAGAGTTTCTTTCATCTGTTTGTATATCTTGCCATTGAATTGGAAGTTTGTTGTCAGACATAGGTCGATGAGTTCCATCACACTTGAACATTTACGTTTTGTACCTTCCGAAATGCATGTGTCTTCAGTAAGCAGGAGGGACATAGTTTCCTTGGCCAATTATGGTTCGACGGATGTATAGTGCTATGACATCGAAGGTCACCGATGTCCGAACTAATTGCAGACACTAGAAGCCATCATTCTATCTGTGATCAAACCAAAAATTTGGATTCGTCACGGCAAGTTAGTGAATCACTCACGTAGAGATATTGACAGCTCATACTGAAGTTAGTGCTGATGATATCTCTGTCTAGAAAGACGATGAAAGCTTCACAGCTAAACAACCCAGCTCAGAAAAGACAACACAACCAAGACCATCCACATGAGCTACAAATATTCTTCACAATTTCAAAACTAACTACTTCATCAGTCCCAAACTAATTGATTGAACGTTTTGAGTTCATGTCTCTGTAGTTGAAAATGTATTCATAACTAAACCATATTTTCTGATCTAATGTTTTTGCCAATATATGGTGAATGGTTTTAACAGTAAAGAATGTTCCTACAACAGAAGTGCTTTGAAACTTTATATCTAGTTACTTGTAATATTTCCTAACTAGGTAATAATTTTGTAGTACACAACATATCTGGTGACAATAACTGGGGTTGTTCTTGGGAAACTCCTAATTTGTACTTATAGCTTATTGAAGGGGTATTTCTAATCGAAATGTACTCAGTATTATTATATTATTATTGTCCCTTGGGTTCCTAATGGAACATAGGGCTTCAGTAGCACGTCTCCAATGCGCTCTGTTCTCTGAAATCTTTTGAACCTGACTCCACAACAGCTCACAAGCTCTCATTTCCTCCTCGCACGATCTCCTCCATGTCACCCTCATCTCGGACGCCCAACTCGTCACTTCCCATCTGGGTTCCACTTGAGCCCCTGGAGCGTGATGTCCCCGAATGGTCCTCTCAGTGCATGCCCAATCCATCTCCACTTCCTTCTGCATATTTGTTGAGTGATAGGTTGTTGGTTGGTTCGTTGCCATGCCAGAGTTCCCTGTTGCTTATTCTCATTATTCTGGTCATGTGGTCTTCAGTAACGAGCCAGAGTAGGCAGTTGTTGATTAATGTGTATAGTTTGTTGGAAATCCTTTTCGTAATGCACCAAGTTTCTCAACCATCACAAAGAAGCACTGACTTGACTGAATTAGTGTTGAAAATCCCGATCTTGTTCACGCTTTGTGCTGAGCGCAGAAGATCTCCACACTGGTTTCAGTTTAATGAACGCCTGTCTTACTTTTCCAATCCTGGCTGATTTGACGCCCTCGTCTGTGTCGCCGCCGCCTGTAGTTGAAACAGTGCTGCCTAGATAGGTGAAAGAGACTACTTCCTTTAAGTTTCTCCCGTTGATGGTGGTTGGAGCTTCTTGTTGTTGGTGGTGGCGTTGGTTGGGTATCATCATCACCTCCGTGATGAATTCAACCTCTAAATCTCTTTTCTTTTTTTTTTTACCTCAGATATATCAATTTCAATCCAACAGGAGGAAAAGAAGAGAATGAAACTCATGAAAAGATGATCAACTGTAGAAACCATCTTAATTTTGCAACATTGAATTTTCTAAATTTCATTGAAGATTCAGATTTGTCTACTGCTGCTATTGAACAAATGAAAAAGTATGGTGTTGGTTCATGTGGGCCAAGAGGATTTTATGGTACATTTGATGTTCACTTAGAACTAGAAAAGAAATTGGCTGAATTTCTTAGTGTAGAAAAAGCTGTAATCTATTCATATGGAGCTGCTACATTCTCTAGTGCTATCCCATCTTATTCTAAGCGAACTGATGTGATATTTGCTGATGAAGGCATTAGTCATACTGCTTATCAAGGTTTAATAGCATCTAGAAGTCATGTTAAATTTTTTCATCATAATAATATGGATCATTTAGAACAATTGTTAATAGTACAGGCAAAAAAAGATGAAGAAGATCCTAAACGTGCATTATTAACACGTCGATTTTTTGTTGTTGACGGTTTATACTTGAATTATGGTGATATTTGTCCTTTACCAGAGCTTATTGCTTTAAAGTACAAGTATAAAGTTCGTATACTGTTAGATGAAACAATGTCATTCGGTGTATTGGGTAAAACAGGTAAAGGTGTCACAGAATACTACGGTGTTGATATAGAAGATATTGATTTAATTTCAGGTAAGTTTGTTGATTATTCTAATGTTTTAACTGATTTGTCGTTATGCGCCTTGGGTGATAGCTACTACTACTTTGATATAGTAGTCTGGATTGTATATCACAATGATCTATCAAGATGTACTGACTGGAATGCCGGAAACGTCTGTTGGAAAGTGGTAAGACAAAAAGAAGTTACCGTTGTTGTGTAAATTATTACACTATGATGGGGGTCTGAGGACGAAGTTGTACTGCTGTTAGCTGGATGGAATGTGACAGCGGTGTCACCGTAATGTTACCTTCTCAATGTAAGGGGAGGGTTAGAAATGTCGGTTCGAAAAATAGCACACTTCATCCTCCCCTATGCTCCTTCAGTGCTCGCGGTATGGGTTTTCTGTATCCAGCGTCAGAACAACCAAACCTCAAAACAGCATTCCGCAAAAATGTCAAGTGTGATAGGTCCTAAGAAGGTGTTCCATAAGCTCTGCAGCCACACAAGTCTTTTTCTCTTTCATGTACCTTAAGAAGAAATAGCCTTCCACGATGTGAGGAACCGCCTGCGCAATTCCAGCAGTACACAAGATCCCAGTCAAGCTTAACCTATCCTTCAAATCTATTTTTACACGATCTCCTGTTCATAATTTACAGTCTGATTCATCCTTTCGAATCGAAATACACTCACAGCAACTTTGTGCATATTCATCATGTAGTAGGCATTGAGCTATACACATATTGTGTGAAGGATAGTGATACTACTGTCGAACCCGTGACCCGCTGGTTGAAAGTCAACCCCCTTAAACCATCAATGAGCCACAGCTCCATGATTAGTCATTTGCTTTCATTACTCCTTGAAGGACAAAAGACAAGACAGGTACGCACTATCCGTAAAGTTATTAAGTTATAAATGTGAATTACAAATTCACAATGTACAACAAATGCCAGAGCCAATAATAACAGTTCACGCACAAGCATTTCTTAATGGTAAACAATCCATTTATGCATAAGCAGTCAAAAACAAGTTAATGAATAGAGGTAGAAACCAGTATTGAACTATAACTTTCCAGTAGGAACTCTTCAAACAATGTTTCACAACTTCCTTTTCTTAGGTCTAGGTCCTGCTGGATCTTTGTTAGTAGGTAGGCTCCTATGTGGATGGTTCAATACTCTGTTTGGACTTCATCAGTTGGACGTATCTGAATGATGTTGTTCCCACTGAGAATCGAACTTCAAATGCTAAGGCCGTTATCCACTACGCCTAACTAGTCCCATCTAGGACAAGGCGTAAGTCCTAGATTCCACTGTTGACCACCAAGTAAACTACATCATAATTCAATTGTTATTTCTCTTATTTGCTGCTTCATTTGACAAATTTTTATAGGTTCGTTGGAAACTGCCTTAGGAGTATGCGGTGGATTTTGTGCTGGATCTCAATTTGTTGTCGGACATCAAGAACTCTCAGGACAAGGTTATTGTTTTTCAGCTTCACTACCACCTATGTTAGCTTCAGCTGCATGCAAAGCAGTTTGTAAACTTCAATCATCTCTAGAAAATGGTAAACGTAATAAGCGTTTATTGGAGTTGTCCAGGTTAACAGACAATTTATTCCATTCTAATACTAAGTTAACCAGCATTTGGAAGTTATACGGTCATCCAGACAGTCCATTAAAACACTTAAGATTAAGAGAGAATAATACAATTTACAAACTTGAGGCTATTGTACAAGCTGCTTTTGATTGGGCTGACGAACGTAACTCGGAAGCACCTCCAATATTGCTAACAGTTGCAAGGTTAGTGATGCTTACTTCTATTTCTTTTTATGCTTAAATCTTTTCCTAATACTAAGCATCTTACCTCAAGCCTGGGAGCACTGGACAGCTATTTCGTCATAGTATGGGATTCTTCAGCAGTGCACACCCACGACCCCGCACACCAGGAGTCGAACCCGCGACCTTCAAGTTTCGTGGCCACTAGGTCGGAATCCAATGTTCCCCCTATTTCCAACTTGTGTTAGTTCATAACATAGCGTGATCATCACCTAATGTCATCGTTGAGTATTTGTCTTCATGGCCAGCAGGTTTGCTCTATCGATCATGACTTCTCATTGGAACTTCGGGAATCCCATCTCGAAGCTAGTCACCAATGAGCACTAGATCAATCCAATTTAGGGGGTTTGTAGGGATTTAGTGCACCAATGACCTTGCCAGGAACCTGAAGTTCATGGGTGCGCACTGCTGAGAAGTCCCATACTAGTCAGACGAAACAACTGTCCAATGTTCCTCCAACTGATATCAGTCCATGATATATAACCAACTTGAAAAATCAATAAATCCCCACAAACGCTTATTTTACTTTAATTACAACCGGGACCGCCTTCACAACTTTTCAATATGCATACATCTACTCAATTTAATCATATGAAACATTATTATTATATTTTATAGATATACACATAACACCAATTACAGTAACCCACCACCAAGTATACGTATTGCATTGAATTGTGATTTAACTGACGATGAGGTGCATCATCTATTCTACGTTCTCTCATCAATCATTACTGCTTGATTAAAACAAAGTGGTCTGCAGTGTGATACATTTAATTTATGAAAACTGGCTGTGAAATTTCTTACTGTGATGTGATACATATCAATCAGTGTAATTGACAATTCTTTCAATAGTTTATTGTCTACTTTTTGTGTAACCTTCGTAGATGGGTTTTTTTTCGAATAAAATATACAATGGTGTTTAACAAGGTGTCTTTTGATCTCTATTTCGCAGGATGAATTTATTGCGTGATCCCTTGTTTTCCCAGTGTTATCCTCGGCCAATACCTTGAAATATGAAATAATATATTTCCCAAAAGTTTATCAATCGACCAATCAGTATCAAAATAAGGCTAGACATTACTGCATAACGATTCAACTTGATATACCTCATATAAGAACAACTAGTAACAAGGTAAAAAAAAGATGCGAGAAAAATCGGTGGGAAGCCATAAAAGAGAGGAGTGAGAAAATGCTAAAGTCAGTAGAGGAGTTAAGTTGAAGGTAAAATGTGAATACGTCTGCACCACTGACATCCGTTCTGAGCCATATCGCTGGTCTTTCTTGTCCTGTGGACCCCAACTTGCTGGTCTGCATTGCAATAGATGGCTCAAACGAACAGTCATGCATTGATGCCATGTTTTGGTCTGACCGTCCCGAACCTTCCTCTTGCCTGAATCTACTTCGGTCAACATTGTGCGACGAGGGGGGCGGTGGATAGGCATACGTAACCGTATCAGTCGATGAATGTTCAAAACTGCATCAATTGACTTGTCTCTCCTCGCTAAAACCCTATACCTGACTTCTGTGTTACTCATGAGGTGACACCACAAAAGACGACCTATGCAGCAGTGGTCAAACACCTGAAGCCTTCTACCTTTAATAGTCGTGTTTCACAGCCACCCAGTAGGATAGAGCGGACCGCGGCACAGTACACTCAACCCTTAATAGGAAATCGGATGTCGTGGCAACGACACATATGATGTAAGTCGGCGAAAAGCAACCGACCCTTTTGTGTCCGTGCATAAATTTCGTCGGCCATCGATCCACCAGACGTGATCCGACTTCTCAGGCAATTGAAGTGGATGTAATTTCAAATTAAGCTTAAAGTGAAAATAAAGTAAGGTACTAGGTTGTTTCAGTGTGTTGAATTGAATAAATCAAAACTGTTTACCATTTTCAGATAGAAACTAATCTGTTCAGAATGAATCGTCCGCTGATAGCGTTTCAACTGGCAAATGTTCCAATGTAATGCTAGACATTTTCACTACAACTTCAAAGGGAAGCACTTCTAAAGATACCTGACATCACATTGAAACTCTAGCTGAGAGTACATTTGTTTCCGAACAGCCACACTCGGAGCTAATAATAATTACCCCAGAACTAATCGCTGTCTCGAAATTAAGTCCAATAGAGATGTTAACTGGATCATGCTTAAGATAATGACACCGGTGGGAGATCCATCGAAACTCACTTGCATTTGAGTAACGCGTTTTTGCAGATGAGGGACAATATTTGACAATGACAGTTAAAATATATATACCTTTTGTATTCAATTCAGAAAGCACTTAAACATTGTCGATTTGTTCCTGAAACTATGACTTACTGCTCTCACGACTTGACTTTCAACCAGTAGGTGACAGGTTGGAACACAGTTCCACCTACCGATGTCTGGGCAATACGTAAATCGGAATGTACTCAGCAACCACGTAAAGCAGACAGTAAGCCATACGTGTTGTATTTGGGATACTGTTACCATCTGGTTGCAGTCACTTCGGTAGGGGGTGTGACAACTGAAATGCAAGAATTCTAGTCAGAACGAAACTTGTCGTCTATAGCAGGTGTCGATTAGACCAAAAGATAGGACTGCCTCCTTTCTGCACAGTGCGCTTAGCTCCCCTCCTTAGATAGGCGTGGTGTCCTGTAACTCGGAGTTTTTCGCAGTTCTGAGTGAGTGTAGACATCCAAACAGGTATTATCTTGCCGATCTTCTGGGTAGATAAACGACTAATTCTCTCACCTTTTACATTTTGGTATGACCTTTCTAAGCCTTGTCCAATCTCTCAGTTCTCCAACTGTAGGTTATCTATTTGACCTCAAATATCAAAACTGCAATACTTCTGGTTTATTGGAGAGCATGTACTCGAGCAACCTTCGTCAATAGCTCCCAGGAACACTAGATTCTCAACAGGAGCTGATTTTCTAGGCCTATGATAGTCTTCCGTTAAGGAACTCCAAATCAAAATTGAGTGAGACAGTCTTGTTAATTTGCCTGAGTTGTTCCATAGTTTCAGCATACAATCTGCTGGTTTCCTTTGAAGTACGGTGTAGTTCAGAGAAAGGACTCGTCTAGATAAATAAATCACTGATTATACTTATTTGGGGAAAGAAATTACCCTATGAGTGGGTACAGACAACGCCTGCATGGGGAACTGCCTACCTGGAATAAAGCCATACGGGCTCCTGACTTCTCACACTCACACAAGTATAGGAGAGACAGACAGAACCAGTGTTAAACCTCGGACAAAAATGCATCAAGTTGCCACACTTCACCGTAGTAAACAAAAAACAAGTGGATAGAATAAGTGTTAATAAAGAAGGCAAAGTTGTATGGGAGAATTAACAAACTGAAGAAGATGGTTAGTGCGAATATTCAAGCTTAGTATATGTCAAGGAGTGAAATACATCTGCACCGCTGTGACCGATCTTCAGTCGTGTCACCAAGACTCAGTCCTCAATTACTGGTTCATATCGTCTCAATGACCCCATCCAGAAAGTTCATATCTCCCCACACGAGTCAGACCAACAATCAGAAGCTCCATCGAACGATGCGACCTCTCAATCTTGGCCACCCTCAATAACATAATCTAGTAGCATGACACGTTGAGCTAGGCGGTGGCTCAGAACGCGCTACACACGGTCAAGCCACCTCAGTCGATGGCTATTAGCCTCATCGGATGTCTAGCCTAATACCCTTCGCCTGTTCTTAACATTGCTCATAGTGATTCCACAAGACGCAACCAATGCTACGAAGATACCTCCGATCAAAGCCTTTAGATCGCTACTACTTTCAACGGTTATGTCTCACAGCTATGTAACTCAACAGAACGCACTGAATACTCATCCTTTGGTAGATAGCCAAACAACTCTCCAGTCAGCACCACATATAATACCTGTGGGCAAATACCAAACAGGCCTTCTGCATCCAAACTGAGATTTCGTCAGCAACCAATTCATTTGAGCGAACAAAGCTCTCAAAGTAAGTGAAGTGGTCGACATGTTCCAACACTTCACTTCCTATTATTAAACTGAAAGTATTGCAGCAGACCAGTACTCCAGCATCACTTTAAATTTGACAGATGCAAGCTAAAAGAATGCCAAACACTCACATTTCTGCTCAAAGTGTCCACAAGCCCCTTCATTGCGTCGTCTTCACCTAACTATACAACATCGCCTGGATACTCCAAAACAACTAGATGACTGCTATCCAGCGGGTCAACTTCTGTGAAATCGCACGTACTTAATCTATGTACACTAGTAAGCCCATAGCGAAGTTAATTGGGAACGATGATAGTAGATATCCCTGCTGGACACCACAAGTTGTTGTTAATTCTGAGTATAATTCTCTGCAAGCTCTTACACGGCTACATGAATTCAAACAAAGAGCGTTGATTAGCATCAAGTACTGATGCCTATACATCACCTACTACCTCAGTCACTCTAATCACAAATTTCATACCTTCATCCTTAAAAACATCGAGTCACAAACTGTCTGGTCCTGCTGCTTTGTGTCGCTTCACATCCCATACAGCCTTCTCAACTACAATAGAGGCTTGCACGATAGACATCTACCTCCCATTCAGGTTCAGGCTGGATGTTGGGCAACTGAAACGTTGCTGAGGGCCAGTTGAACTGTGCTTCAGTGGTCCACCCAACGTTCTAGCTGCGTGTCCTAAAGGGTTATCAGCGTCTCCTTCTTTTCAATGATGGTTTCATGCTCTTCCAGTCAGTATCCTTAATAACTTTAAATAATTGTCAAGTGATACCCAATGCTAATGCCTTCTTCATCTCTCTCACTTTCGCCAACCACCACCCTCATGACCACTGCCAAGACTCTTGGTCAGATTACCTCTAAGTTACTTCCGCTCCTCACTGTGGTCACAGCCAGCTGGAACTAGTCTTCTCCCATCAATCATTTCCGATGACGTTGTGGGAATCAATTCACCTTTTCCAACCTTCGGGTGTAAGTTACCAGCAGTCCCTACCGGTGTTTCTACAGTAGACCTAATATCACACCAGGCTTCCTCAAGATGAGCATTGCAGTTACATTCACACAAATGCTCAGCTAATTCCTCCCTAAATACGTTCATTGCCGAACTCACCTTCTAGTCGAGAATATATAGGCTTTACTATCACCTACCTCCTGAGACCAGTAAGGTGCAGACATGCACAAGCCTGAACTAGCACACGATCGGAGTCCAAACATGTATTCCTGAAAGAGTAACAATCCCCCGCTGACCCTCTCCAATGACGTCTCATAGCAATATCTCTCTCGTTGTGCATCCTTGGTTTGATATCGGCAGACACCCTGTAAAGTAGTGTCTCTCCTCATATTTGAAGTTACCGCGCTGATTAGAAACAAGTGGTTGTTAGAACATAATTGCAAGAAATGATCACCGTTGTCAGTCCTTTGGCATAGGATTCCGTAAATACCTCCAAGATGCCTTTCAGGTTAGCTCAGTTTTCCTGCTTGAGCTTCGGGTTCGCTTGGCATTATGACTGCGCTTGAATATTCTGCTTTCTGTGGAAAATCTGGCCACTCACAGAACCATTCCTTTGCATCATCCGAACTGCAGTCGGTGGAGATTACGAATAACACCGTTTAGTCTCACGACTCGTTTTATTTCTTACAGATCCATTTAGCTGAACAGCAAATTAACGGCTGCTGACTGGCATGTACTGGAGAAGTGCACTTTCTGTCGTGCAACCCAAAGCTATATTTACATGGGCTAGCCAGTGAGT